TCATGAGCAACAATATCGATCTGGGACAAATTCAGAAAGAAGACAGATTACCGCCAGCAAACAAGCTCTTAAGATTGCATGATTTGTTACAGACGACAAAACCAATCAAATCAAGAGAGGAAGTAGGATGGACCCAAGAGGATCTGTTGTTCGTGACTTTATTATAATAAATGTCTGAGCATCTGAACGCTACCACAAACATAAAGTGGATGAAAAGGGCAGCTAATATTTGCAGCTAACTTCCTTTTGAAAAGTAGAAAATGGCCATTAGCTAGTTTATTTTATGTCAATGGTGTGAAAAACTCTGCTGTGCACAGTGGATAGATGTCCGTCAGATTAAGTTCTGCTATCACAGAGTGTGTAATCATCAAAGGCCACACACACACGTGCACACACACACACACACTCTTGCTAGCAGATGTCTGTCTTTAAGCTTGTGGACGTCCACTGCCTCCCCTTTCAACATTGGCCCCTCCCCCCATCACAACCCACGGCTCATTATGTCAAATTTTCTTTCATTTCCCCCCTTCCCCCAATTCACCCCCAATCTTTCCCCCCTCTTCACATATCCGTCCAATTTCTCTTTAATTAGACCTACTTTCACCTCTCTGCCTCTTTCGCGCTCTCGAACCCTGTAACCCTTCAATTCATCCGAACAATGGACTCATCCTGTCTGGATGTGAGTATAGACACTGACACTAAGTCAAATATACTTAATCTCGCATTTCTCGAAAGGAAACATGCGAGCGCATGCAATTTCGCATTAGAAGCGTCGGTTCGTATTAGTCTAATATGATCGCTTATCTTTTATTTGTGTGAAAAGTACTGGTATGAGTTTGCATACACTTTCTCACACATAATCCACTTGGATTTTCATAGAAGTACATTTTGTATGTGTACAATTTCACACAAACACATCAGTTAAATGTGAAATGTAGTGCACTATATTTGTAAAAAACACTCACTGAACAAAACATGACACATATTTTAAGGTATACAACCAGCAGTCTTATCTTATTTGATTTTCCGGGTGCACTAAACATACTACGACGGAAATCAGAATGAGCACATTGTATTAAACTACAAACAAACATCCAGACATTTGCTCTCATAGACTCCATCCCCCTCTCTGATAACACCTGCCCCCCCCTCCCCCACAACAAAGGCACAACAGACGCTCTTTTAAACACAACTCGTCCCAAACACAAAAATGGCAAAATGTGTGCTCTCACACATCATAGATAGACGTTCAACTGCCTTTTTGCTATCAATAACCAAAGGGAGCGCTAGTTCAATGGAGATCGGGTGTAATTTGATGCTTTGAATCAAAATTATAATAGTAAAAACAACATTAATAGTGCAAACAGAAGCTATCTGGTCTGTCCTGCTGATCTACTACATCTTGTTTTTTTGTCACGATTTTTATGGCTGAGGCAGGGGTAAGAGTAAAGCTGTTTGTGAAACAGCAAATACAACAACTTAAACCACAAAAAAATCATTGTGAAAGCTGATATTTATCTTAACTGAAGTCAGATAGGATCCAGCTGAGTCACATTTCACATGTTTCAAATTCATCCAGTATTTCAGCCCTGTAGTACACTAGCTGCTGCCAAAGGCCAAAGGGAATATGATTAGAGATGTAGAGGAAACGAGAGATTGAGGGTGTGTACGTACGTGAATGCAGTGCTGGATTTAAAAGCGCATACGAATGTTTGCGCGACTGAAGTACCTTGGACGATGCCTGGCGCTTTGTTGTGCCCATGCAAGTGGGGCCATGTGATAAACAGAGGTAAGCAAACACGTTGGGATGGCAACGGTAGGCAGAGAGCGAGAGATAGGAGAGATGGGGAAAGATAAGAGGGGGAGGAGGAGGAGAGCATGGGACAGAAAACCAGAAAGAGGACTCCAGGTCTCCATTCTCCTCCTCTGTCTACAATCACTGCGTGCCTCTCACCTGAAATTAAACATAAGGCCAGGTGCCACTCCAGCCATGCCATCTGTTCAACCCCTCCTCCCTTGCCTTCCTTTACCTCTCCATTCAGTTCACTGCTCTCAGTTGATCTTTTATTCAGAGTGTCAACATTAGCAAAATTAGAATATTATACTGTTTTTGTCAGTTATTTTTTGCTCATCCAAACAGTAGTCATAAAAATGTATGGTAACACTTTATTTTAAGGTGTCCTTGATGCACGTTACATGAACTTATTATTATAATAACAATTAATTATGCATAATTACATGCAAGTACCCCTAAGCCTAACCCTAATCCTAACCCTAACCATATAGTAAGTACATGTAGTCAATTTATATTACTCAGTACTTAAATGTATAATTACACTGTAAGTACTTGTTATTATAATAACAATGAATTGTGCATAATTACATGCAAGTACCCCTAAGACTAACCCTAATCCTAACCATATAGTAAGTACATGTAGTTAATTTATATTACTCAGTACCTGTAACAAGGACACCTTAAAATAAAGTTTAACCAAATGTATGAAATATGACTATTACAAACCCTATTACAAACATTTGTATATTTTTCATCTGTAGAACATGAAAGAAGATGTTATGAAGTATATGTAAGTGGTTTTTTTCTCCATTCAATGAAACACTGTTGTAATCGTTAACTAAAACTACAACTAAAACTAAAGTTATTACAGATCAGTTTCGTTAATTGAAATAAAGCTGAAATAAAATAAAAATATCAGACCTCAAATGAAAGTGAGAAATGTTGCCTTGGCAAATAACTAAAATAAAACAATTGAAGTACAAAAATGACTAAAACTAAAACTGAAAGTTAAAACAAATAAATGAAAGCTTAATAAACATTTTAAATAAAATGGCACAAGCACATAACAAAATGACTAAAAATAAAAATAAAATCTAAATGAAAAATGCATAAATACTACAATAAATAATCCTAAAATTACACCAGTGAGAGTCAAAGGAATCCAAAACAGCATTGGATCTCATTAACTTCCATTGCAAGGACAAAAAAAACCTTGAGACATTTTTCAAAATATCTTTTGTGTTTTGCAGAAGAAATTACGTCATACAGGTTTGGGACAACATGAGAATAAGTAAATGATGGCAGAATTGTCATTTTTGGGTGAACCTACCCCTTTTCTTACACTATTTGAACAAGGTACGTTTTCATCACTCACAAAATGACAATGCACATACTGAGTCTTAAAGATCAAATCTGAAAAACAAATCTGAATTGGATGTAGTGTGAACAAAGCCTGAGAGAAAAAGAGAAAAGGTGAGAAATTAAAGTTCCAAGCCAATTTCTGTCTTATCTTATCTGTCTTTCTCCTCTCATCGTGGTTACAATTCCTATCTCACCGGCACATGCACTCTAAACACACATCACGCAGCGTTGCTAAAGCAATTCTCTATGATTGACAGGCAGTGGGCGGGGCCTGCTCTGAATGGCAGGTGCCATGAGCTGGTAATAATGCCACACAGCTGGGCTGTCTGTGTGTGTGTGTGTCTGTGTGTGTGTGTGTGTAACGAAAGAGAGAGACAGAGAAAGAAGAAGAGAGATTTCTGTTTAGGAGAGGTGGGTGTTATTCTTAATAATGTGGTTCCCGCCGTACCTCATGGGGGAGGTTTGAACACCGTCTTACCAGGCTTAGGTGAGGGGGGAGACTAATAGAAGGATGGAGGGATAGAGAAGGAGGATTTAAAGCCAGGGGAACCCACTGATCTGTGCCTGGAGAGGTTGGCAAAGGTCAGACTACTGTCATGCTAATAATGGGATTTGTTCTGGAGTTACCCACGAGCACACATGCGCATAACGTTACTCACCATAAGGAAAAACCATCTAAACAGATGCTCACAAACATTGATTCTCTAAAACCAAGGCAGAACAAGGTTTACTTTGCTCACACTTCGATTTAATTTTGTCGCTTCTAACACTACTCAACCAGCTTTCAATGTTACATGATGTGACATACGGAGCAATAAAGCCATTATATCCCTTCATTAGCCTACGTCTGGTGGGACCACAGTTGGCTCGGAGTCTGTTCAGATGCACCAGAAGCTTCTGTTTGGCCGCTCAGTCCACATCGTGTCTCATCTTTTACGACACGCAGCTTCCTCTAGTGCAAATTAAACTCACTTAAATAGAATTTGAGGGGAAGCGAAAAAAATCCCTGTAGTTTGCTTGCTCCAAGTCTAATCAACAGGGGGGAAAAAAACATCACCACGTGCAATAGTTGTATTAAAGGGATATTCCACCTAATAATTAAAATACTGTCATCATCATACTCACTCTAATGTTATTCCAAACTGGTTTGACTCTATTTTTATCTGTGGAACATAAAAGAAGATATTTTGAAGAATTGTTCAACAATGGAAGTCAATGGGAACCGAAACTGTTTGGTTACCAACATTCTTCAAAATATCTTCTGTGTGGAGCTGAATATAGAAAGTCATACATGTATGGAATGGCATGAGGCTTAGTTAATGGGTGGAATATGCCTTTAATTCCTGCTTGTAAATCACAAAACAGACCATATGATCTCATCCTCAAGTTCTATACATTGACGTCACGTGCATTCAACTTGCAACACCGCTCATAATGATCCCGTACATCTGGCAAATCTGAAAAAGTAGGTAATTTACACATAAAAATGCATAAAAATGAATTTATAGGTTGCCCGTCATGGCAGATGGCCTAACAGCTAATCAACGACTTCAGACAGCGACACGATCGCAGATGCCTTCAAGGAATGTGCCCTCCTACATACCTAATTAAAGTCTGTTCAGTCAACACAGATTTCCACAGATCCCATCTCCTGAACCATATAATGTGTTGTTTCCACTTTTAGAAATGACTTCATGTTCCTCAGCCCTGTTAGAAGAGCTTCATGATAAAAGATTTATCCTATATGTAGTCTGCTATATATAGGCAATTGGAAGTGTTTGTTTGACTTAAATAAATCTATTTTTTATACAGCCCGTTCACATTATTAACAGCGACAACTCACCCCCGGCAATGTCTTCTGCTCGTGCAGTGCATTCTGGGCCTTCAAGGCTGACTCCCTCGCACAGTACGTCAAGAACGCACATCCTGAAGAAAGAACAAGAATACAACGTGGGATGTAAAAATAAAAACATAACAGACATAGACAGACCATGGATAACAAGCAGTGTTTTGCGGACATAAAAGGATATGACAACCGTGACTAAGAATTATGAACAATTTGTTTTCTCACCAAAGATGCCTTTTCTATGAATAGATTTGTTTATCATAGGAAGCTAGAATGTTGGATGCAAACTTAAAATGAAGCAGCAGGAAATGAATGTTATTGCAAACTAAAGGTTAAAGTTTCTACACAATAAAACAAGTATATATCCCACTGTCAAAGAAGGCCTCAGTAGACGAACTAAGATATGTAGTTAAGATATGAATAGGAAACTCATCTAGCACCATTAGTCTCCCATCTCCCCTTGAGACTGTCCGTTCTATAGAGCAGCATTTAATTACCTTTGTGCATTCCCGTGTACTTGTCCTTGATCACCGTAAGCTCATAGATCTTCCCAAACTGCTCAAAGATGGGCTTCAGGTCCTTCTCCTCCAGATTCCGTGGGATCTGGCCAATGAAGAGCTTGATGGCGTCGGCCTCCTTCATTAGGACAGTTTCCTAAGGGGACGGAGCGACAGCTGCGCCCGGGGTTTCAGCACTGGAGAGCGGCTCAGCGACGGGGGAAGAGTCGCGATGTTAAACACGAGTCCCGGTGGAAAGGTTTGAACCGTGACAGCTCTGAATAAAAAAAATAAATATATATATATGTATATAGTTGGCCAAACGTTACCTATCTGGGAGACCTTTTAAACAAAACACAAATGCTTTTATTTTGGGTCTGTAAAATGTATATCGAAATAACGACAGTATAGTTTTTTACATGGTTTTTTTATCAATGTAAAATACGATTGGTGGAGCTGTTGCTATGGTTACCTCCTCAAACTCAAGTCATTTCTGTTCGTGAGCGAAATGTGAGAATATTGAGTCCTAAGTTGTAACTTGTGGTAACTGAAACGTTTTAAACTCAGCTAAAACCTACTATATTTGTACTTAAATGTAAAACATTTTCTTTTAAGGCCCCCAACCTCTTATTTATTTATTTATTTATTTTACTTCCCCGAACCCCCTTTAGTTACCGAGAATCAAAATGGGCTAACGCCTTTTCTGTTCCGCAATATGAAGGCATACTTAATTAGATCTAGACCAATCAAAATTCAATATGCAAATAAATTCAAGAACAACCTCCAATCGCCATTCAGTTTGCCAGAATTACAATATCGTCTTCCATGACCGTCAATTTGAATGCCGAACATTTTCACACAATGGGACATCTTACATTTCTTTACAAGTATAACGTTTATAAACAAACAGAAAGCATACAAAAAAAATATCTAATTATCTACAAAACAAAGTTTAAGTTTGAGCTGAATTAACTACATAATATTATGGAGGATAATAGGGATTTCTATACAGTGCTTTTTGTTTGATATTTCAACATCATACAATGCTTAGCAGATCTGTAGTAGCTATATATATATATATATATATATATATATTAAAAAATTAAAATTTCGAGCTATTTGAGTATACATTAATGATCTGTTTGAATGAATGCATTATATAATGTAAATATTAATAATGTATGCTATTATAAGGTGTCACCAAAAACAGAATATAAATACGAGAGATCAGTCAATCTCTAAGGTATTTTAAGAGATTAAAATGCTATAGTAAAACAAAGAAATTTGTGTTACGAGCTCTGGCAAGAGAGCATATTAAAAGTGAATGCAATAAAATGAAATGCATATAAATATCGACAGATATCCCCATTGCTTCTTTGTTTAATCCTCACTGGAAGCTCAGGCGTATGTGGCTCTTTGTCACCACACCAACTGCACATACGCACATACATGATAGAGAACAAAAACACGCAGCTATCCAAGCAACTTCACGTCTTTAAATCAAAAGAGACTAAAAGAATTTAATCAATTTGTACTAGCTCTCTGGTGTTTGTGCAGGGCGAAATTTGCTCTCGTATCCTTCCCTCTCTCTCTCTCTCTCTCTCTCTCTTTTGTTAATCCCAAGGGGATGTTTGTTTATTTGCTGTCTTTCTGCCTGGTTGTGAATATGGTCTGATATTCTACGTGCACAGATAAAGAGAGCTGATGGAGAGGGGTGGCTTGAACGCCAACCCCTGTACGTTTAACTAAATCCGTGCATCTGTCACCCTCGAGTCGTCTTGGTTTTTGTCTCTCTCTGCCCTCTCAAATATCTCCTGTTGACTAGAATACATGCATGAATCAATACAAGTATAAATGCAAATAAAATGGATTTCACTCACGTTTTAATGCAGAGGCTGTGAAGAAGATGCACTGTAATGCTGTAGCCTATATTCACGGTGTTGACACTCCGTATAACCCGTTGCTTTTGACGTCGAAAGCCGGTGTCCCCCTCCTGTCCATCTCCTGTCCTCCCTCGGGGTGTGGAAACCGTGACGTTTACTCGGCTTAAGGGAGCGTGTATATTTTCCTCTCACACAGCGTATCCGCAAAACCATTGGGTGCTGTCAAATAGAAACATCTGTCCCTTTAATATCAGTGTGATACAATGGAGGTAAAAACAGGTTTAAAAAAATGTATCATGAATTTCTCCTAATCGCGCCTTTATATCTCAGCTCATATAGATATAGATATCTCATGTATAGAATCTCTATCTTTAGACAGTTTTTTTGTATCTGCACCAAAATATCTCACAAATGCAACTGTTTCACAATTATTTTAGTTCTTATAACGCATAGCTCAAGTTTGTGACTCAAAATCTTGTAATTGCAACTTTATATATAAAAAAGGGATAGTTTATTTTATATTTTCTTACAATTACTGCAGATCATCATAGCTAAATTGAATACAGTACTATATTTACAGCATGATTCACCTCCTTTTGTTTTGAGAATGAGTTGTACGAGGGAAACTAGTTTGACAAAAGAGACCAATGAATTTTCCATATGTATACAAAAAAATTAAAGCAAACATAATGGGGAAAAAAGACAAAGGAGGACGGAATAATCATATTCAAAATGATTAATAAAGAACAATAGTAATAATTCTATGAATAATAATGTCACACGTTCCTTCATGAAGAGCTACGTTAAATGACAAACAAAATATGGCAAAAAAAAAAAAAAAAAAAAAAAAAAAATTCAAACAAACGAACACGTTTTACTCATAGGAAATGTACACTCAGGTGAACAGGGTTACGGTTCGCTACTGCTTTATTCGAGTGTTCGTTTTTTAGGTTTGTATGTAACATTTCGACGGTGCCTGATATCAAGGACGCTAATCCGCCTTTTGTTCTCGTCGAGCTCTGACCACGGTGCTGAAACTACATTGAGCCAAATCATGTTTTCTCGCAAATTAACGCCCACATAGGCTACTACGTGATGTGCTCGCTATGCGGTCGAGCAATTTCGCTATCTTAGTGCGCGATCTGACAGGGAATTCAATTTAATTCATTCTCTATTACTGACAAAAATATATAAATAAGTAAAATTAACCTTTAGGAGATTAATTTATACAGATCACTTCACAAACCGTGTGTTCGCTTTACATCCGCCGGGACATGAAGTTCATCTGTAATTGTTTAATGGTCAGTAGCCTATATATCAGGCTGTCTGGCTCTTAGGGTAAACTAAATTAAAGACTAGAGTACTTGTGTTCATTTACTGGGATTGACAACCATCTGCCACGAGCCCTTAAATCCCCCAATGCTGTTTTTACCCTTGACCTCGAATCCATATTAAAAAGTTATCTTTCTGATAACCTCATTTTAGAACAAAACCCATAACTCTATACTATGACCCCAAAACACGACACATTCACGTACACAAGAGCACGCACTTAAAATCACAGATGACTCAACTGGTTATACCAGACAGTTGAATTAACGACGACATCTGCTGGTTATTTCAGTATTGCCTATTTGTAAGCATTGAGAGCTTGTCGGTGGTCAAAGTCTATGTGAAGTATGCAGGAGAATCGATTAAATGTAAGCTCCCAGATGCTCAACATGATTTTTGAACAAGAGCCAAGAAATCTGGATGATAAACAAACTGCTTTCATCATTTGTGAGTGGCTTCTTTTATATTTTATACATATAAATTCATATCAAGCAGCCCAAGGCCCTCATATCTTTGTGAGGTATGAAACGTGATATTGTATCAGCTGCATCTACTCACTTCAAGTGGACTGGCATAAAGGTCACCTACTGATATACCCTGACCTTTATGTTGTGCATTCTTTTCGAGCAATAACCCGATTTGTCAGTTCTGGGTTAGCCACTATGCTAGGCCTATATGGTCATACTTATTTAAAAAAAAAAATTATTTACATTTTTGCTTTGTCTAATAATATGTCGATACAATATTGCCTGCATACTCATTACGAGAACAACAGAAACCACAATACCTCTAACAAGAGAGCAAGCTAACCCATGAGACCTATGATACTTGCCTATAGCAATAAAGTACCAGCTCATTAACATCAGTTTGTACCAGTAGAGGGAGGTAGAGCTCTAACTTTACATTGTTTATTGCATTTGTCCTTAAGGCCTGAAACAACTTTAGCAGAATAAAGGCTTTAACCATGTTGTGCACATAATACAGTTAACCTCCATTACAATCTAAGTTTAAGACTAATATTACATTCTGTCCATTGCATAAGAAAATATTCAATAGTTAAGTGCATTTTACCACTGACTTCAGAGTGGCATGCTTTGCTATGGACTTACAGCCTGATATATTTTACAGTTCTTGCAAATATAAATGGGTAATTAACACAGACTGAGTGTGCTTTGTGCAACTGCATATCCTTTACCTTTATTTGCAAGCAGATGGGATACAAGGACATTGGATGTCCCCTCAAGCACTCTGTTGCTGGGCAGACAAAGTCCTCACCAGATCTGCATTCATTGAGGATGGACAGAGGGAGAAAAACAAAACAAAAGGTTGATTGGGTTAAAAGACTAAGGTGACAGAAGGGGGAAGGTATGTAGAACATACATACAAGAGAGTATATATATATATATATATATATATATATATATATACATCCACCACCCACCCCCCACAATGGTGCTTTAAAATACATATTAAAGTTACTACTAGTATCTTTTGAAAGGGTACTGCCCCTTGACATTTTTGTAGTTTTTTTTTGTATATATAAAGAGAAAGCATTCTATTAAAATTTCTATTAAATGCAAAGAAGAATAATAAACATTGGTTACTTAAGCAAAGTGTTTATTTTAATATTTTGATACAGAGGTCATTTCTAGTGTATAAACTGTGTATGCCGGGGGTGGATAACTTGATGGCATCCCACGCGGCACATGCTGTTGTGGAAAGTTTAGCATGACGCGGTTAGAAAACATTCTACTGTTAGGAACAGTGCGCTCGCTCTTCGCGTATGGGGGCGTGGCCCTCTCTGCTATTTAAATAAGGTATGTTACGTAAAGTAAACGGACGAGCGAGCTGATGAACGTCAGAAGATTACCGTAAACCTCAGAATCACTGTTAAACGTCATCTTCGGTCCTGTAAACGTTTAATGGTGTAGCGTTAGCAGCCAAATTAAATTACTTTAAGATATTTAGATCTATTAAAATTCAAAACATGACTCTACACTAATTATATTAACTATTAATTAAATTATAACATAGGCTATAATAATGTATTGCAATGATTAGGCGTTTAATCTTATAATTACATATTACAGATAATAATAATAATAATAATAATAACCTAGTTTAATATGTTTTTTAATCTTATTTTTCTGTTCAGAAGCTTGAAGTTGAGTTTTTTGTTTTTCGGCCGACAAAATATTTTATAGGCTACATTTCATTATTATTATTATTATTTCCCCGAAAATAAATCCGAGTGTAGGTATCATAATCGGTCTTATTGAAACATCTGAGGACACGACCATAGACAGTTGTTTTGACTGTCTTAACATATTGGACAGCTTCAGCGTTAACTCTCGATATAGCCTATTTTAATAATACGCTAGAAATTCAAAACAACTTCGCATATTCGTATGAGAGAGGCGACATCTTGTGGAACTGAATGTTGATGGAATGCTGAGCTCTGGCCTTTCTTGATTTGTGTAAATAGCACTGTATAAAATGTCATTTAAAACCAGTAAGGAATCTTCGATAACTTTATTGACCATTATATTCTTTCACGTCTATTTGTACGTCTTTAATTATAATTAAGATAAACTTTAATTTAAACCTCGTTATTAGTACTTTAATTTGCAAAAACGTGATATAGGTGTTTGTTAATTACTCCTAGCCCCACCAAATCTCTACACATGCTGGAAACGAATTAATGAATTAAGAATTAAGGTTATGTTTTACTGAGGCAGTTTGTAATTCAAAACCCTGCTTTTGTCCATGACAGACAGAGAGGAGATCAACCGTATGACACCTCAACAGCAGGTGCCTTACTGAAGGATGAACCTCAGGGCAAAAGAGTGTTTGAAAACCCCTGGTGTGAAACTATGAATAACTAAAAGGGATAGTCCATCCATCAATCAAGTCGTCCTAAACCTGCATGCGTTTCTTTCTTCAGTTGAACACAAAAGATATTTTGAAAAACGTGGGTAACCACACAGTTGGTAAAAGCCATTGACTTCCATAGTATGGAAAAAAAAATACTATGGAAGTCAATGGCTACCAGCAACTGTTTGGTTACCAACATTCAACAGAAGAAACTCATACGGGTTTGGAAGAACTTGAGGGTGAGTAATGATGATAAAATATTCATTTTTGGGTGAACTATCCCTTTAAAGTTTGCTCATCACCAGATGTTCTTAAAAAGGAAACTTTCTCTGAAACAGCAAAACGCATCATCTAGATTTGATGAGGATTTTGTTTAAGTTAGCAAAATACAACCAGGACATTAGTGCATGGCTCCTTTCAGCACAGGGCCCAGGACATCACCACAGCTTGTCGCCCCCTGCTGAAGACCATGTGTAAATGTTTGTTTTGCAACTTGAAACAAAGCTAAATTTAGTCAACTAGAGGTTACAATATCATGTATATGCTGTTTTTGGAATGTATATGTGAAAATTTCAGGCAATTATTTAACGGTTTAACTTTAACAGGTCTTTAGCAATTTAATGCTAATTTTATGATTTTAAGCAATTTAGTATTATAAGCAATTATGATTTTTTACTTCATTATAAAGGGCAACTTAATGTTTCCAGCAGCACTGTGGTTATTTAGCTATATTTTCTTTATTTAATGTTTTACAATAAATTAGCCAAATAATCTAATTTGAGTCTTTGCTTCCTTTTCTGTTTGATGAAAGTTGAAGCATGAAAAATGTATATAGGCTACTGAAGTACCCAGCCAGAAAAGCCAGTTTCAACATGTTTTAAAAAGTCCTGCAGTGTTTTACTTTTGCGCTCGTTTTTTTTTTTTTTAAGATTTCTGAAGCAGAAGTTATTCTGCTATAACGTCAGAATCAGTGGAATTATACCGCTTTGCTCATTGCTAAAATCCTGCCTATTAGCCAGCAAACATCAACTGCAACTGATTTTAAGGTTGAAGAATTTCTCCTTTTACTTTACACTTCTATAATGTTGTGTTCAAGAAAAAAAAAAAAAGCCTCATGTTGTTACGTTGTTCCGATTTTAGGAGTTCACACCATAAATATCCATCTGTGCCTAATCCAATCAGCCAGGACTCGAGCATGAGTGACATTAAATTAAGTGGAACTATGCTAGGCCTTAATTTTAGAATCAAGTTATTGTGTAAATTCCTTGTCTTATATGCTACACTTAATTCAGAGAAACATAATTCTTTGTCTTTTAAGCTACATTTATTTCAGAGAAAGATGCAACAGTGTGATGCAACATTTGCCTCACAACTGAAGTGTGACCAGAGTCATCTCTTGATAAAGTGCTTATTTGATCAGACAAAAACTTGATCTTAATCTGTCTCGGCATAATAATTGGCTATTTCAAACAATTTGTGCAAACATAAGCCTAAAGTGAGATAAATACGGGTAATTATGAAGTAAATACTCATTGCAAACCAGACTACAGTATGTGAGAGGAGCGTTAAGGGATCCAGGATCACTAAATAGGAAACAGAAAACCCGAAGTGGAGCTGGAATGGACTGATTACAGAACACACCGAGTGAGGAGGTAAACATTTAGCTTGAATTAACTGTCTACACTTAAGATTCTGATAACTCAAGCTATGCTTTGTACAGTTTGCAGTTACATAGAATTTATCATAGAAATGGCCTACATTTACCCATTCAAACACTAATTAATTGAGAAATACATTAAATGGGCTAAAAAGCCTCTGATTTTGGTTCTAGAACACGGTGTAGGACAATTCTCAGTCATATATAGTCAACATGAGTTGCAGCCATTTAGCTACAATAAAATCTCTGCATACAATGTTGATCATATTTTATTAATGAATGAAAGGTGTTCGCGAAACTGTGAAGAGCAAAGAAATCAGTTCGGAAGCAACTGAGATGAAAAGACTCAAAGACATCATGGTTGAGACTGCACTCCACCACAGTGTTTTTTTTCCAAACACATCTTTATTTATGTCAGTACAGTAAAAGCCTCGGGGAACTGAGGGAGGCCGTGATGATTCTGCCCGACAACTTCGTTTCTTCTGCATCTTCTGCCACTGTTGGCAAAAACGGCTCGTCTCTGTACACCTCAGCGCCTTACCTCAAAATTGTAAAGATTACTTTTTCTCTACACTGCTGTTTGTCCATGAAAGAGGATAATGAAGCTTAACTACCTGTTAAGGTACATTTAATTACATGTACAAAATAAGATCAAAACTACCAGCTTTGCATAACAATATAGCTTGATCATCAGTTGAACTTAAATTTGGAAGTAAAAAAATATCACATATCAACCTGTTAAATGCTGATCCAAAAAAAACATTGAGTTTCCCAAACATATCTGCGAGATATGTACACACACATTCCCTCTAAGGGAAAAGGATAAAGGATATTTTGTATTAACCTTTCAATTTGACTTTTTTATAGAACTAGACACAAAAACTATAAAAATTAAAGAAGAATTAATGAAATGAAATTGAATAACCACCTCTTGTTTTGTCTGCCTTCAGATTCCATCTCATTCCCCCAGCATTCCTTGCCAGATATTCTTTCCATTTCTCTGCTCCAGTGCTCCTTGACTTCATCTTGCAGCACAAATGCTTACGCTTTACATGTCTTGGTGTTGGAAAAGAACAGATCTTGCTCAAATGTTTTTGGTGATCTGATTCCATCCCCTTGGTTACTTGAATAAATGTGCACTTTTCTATTGTGATTTTGTGAAGGTGTTCAGCACCATCCCCTTCATGTCAATGTCCACAGCAATTTTTGTCTTGATGATAACCCAACAGCACTTGGACTTCTTTACTTGCTCACTGTGACATGCACTAAACACCTGAGCATAAAAATCACAAGACACACTTCAGTAATGTGGAGGCAAGAAAGGTCGTTTAGGGGGATAAAAGGGGCCCCTGACTCTGGGAGGTCCGCCAAAAGTTGGGCCAGGTCGCTTGCCTCTTGGAAAGGGCAGCTCATGATGGACCGGTGGTGGCCTACGAAGGGGCCTAGGAGCTGGATAGTGCCCAGGGTGAGGTGGACGAATATGGTGTGGTGGTGGAGGCCTGTGCTCCAGGTGAGGAGGAACCCTGTGCTCTGGGTAGTGAGGTGGTATTTCTTCAGGATAATACTCTTGTGCACGAGGTGAAATTAGGTGCATGTCGTAATGAGGGGGAGAGGGGCTACGTTGTGGATGTTCGTAGTATGGGTCAAAGTATGGATCTTCAGGCAAAGGTCGAGGAAGACTTGAGGCTTCATGGTAACCCCGTACTGGAGGAGAAGACCCAATGCGGTGATGGGGTATACTTGAAGGGGGCTGCAGAGGTACTCTTGGTGGATGTTGGTGGTTGTAGTCCGCTGGACCATTCGGTGGGATTTTAGGAACAAGGTGCGGTGCATGAGCAGAGTGAGAAGCCCCATTCCCAAGTGGATGGAAAGGCTCCTTGTTTGAAACCTCATGAGATAACTGTTCATTATCAGAGTTTGCTGGGACATAGGAGCCATCAACACCACCTCTTTCTGCTTCCCCGAAAGGTTCCTGCAAATCTTCGGTGGCATGAGGACCACTTGCTCTCGAAGAAGATGCAGGATGCATGAAATCTTGTGGTGGAGGAGGAAGCTTTGGGATAGGTGGCAGAGGTGTGGTGAAGAAGTTAGGCGCAGTAAGATCCTGTCTTGGTTCTTTGGCAACGTACCGCTCTGCACCGTATGCGTCAGAGCTGGCCAATACTTGCTTCTCTAGATCATCTTGATATGCGTAGCTACCTTCCACCATTTTAGGATTTGGTCCCACATCATGAATTAAGGGGTTTTGTCTCAGCTCTTGAAGCATCACACTGGATTTCTCGATGGTTTCTACACTGTCTCTCAAAGGTTGCTGGTTGCTGGACATAGAAGAGGAACGCATTGCTTCAATGCGTTGATGCCGCTTAGCTTCTGCCTCCGCAAGAGAGGGCACAGAGTTTTTAAAGTCTTTTTTTGGTGCGGTCTTCTGGTGCATGTCTGTATGAGCTTGTGGATCGGTTTGAGCATTTTGTTTCTGTCCAGATGGAAGTGGACGCATTGATTTAGCATCTAAAGCTGTGGACATAGACACCGTTTGCCCCTGCTGATACGGGAACAGCTCTGATTGAGGAGCATCCATAATTTCATCTTGCGTTGGTGTAGCACCAGCTTCATCCCTTACAGGGGTTCCACCAAGGTTCTCTGCACTTGCTGAAGGGCTATCAACAGTTCCTTTAGGCCACGACAGAACAGATGGAAATCCCAAATTAAAGTCTTTCAGCCCTGGGTTACCTTGGAGAAAGTTATCAATCTTGGAGTCCAAGGTAGAGTTTAGAGAAGAGCTAGGAGTTACTTTCTCATTCTCCATATTGGACTGCATAGCCGTAGGAGCCACACATCCTTGAGTGGAGGGATCCCTAGCCAGTGGGAGACTAGAAGGAGCAAGTAAGACTTCAGGAGATGTATGAGTCTCTGCTGTAAGACGTGATGTCAGAGATTGCTTTTCAGAATTTGAAGATGTGGTGGTCTTTGCAGTCGGGTTGTTTAGCAAAGAGGACAGACCTGGCGGGAAAAAAAATTGTAGAAAGAGAAAGATAGGGGTAGGGACGCAAGGGTCAGCAGATTGATTTAAAAACAAAACACATTTTCTAAAGAACTCATACTAAGGGTCAGGGCCCGGTTGCATGAAAGCCCTTAAGCTAAGAAATTCCTTAGTTTTAAGGTTAAGGGAGCCCTTAGTGAAACTTGTGTTGCAAGAAAAAAACTTAAGGGTCAACTTAAGGAACCTTAAAGCTGTCATTAAGTATTCCCCTTAATTATTTAAGTGTTCCCTTAAGTGTTGCTACAAAGTCCTTAGTAACCATTTCACCTTAATAAATTTAAGAGACTAAAAGAGCTCCCTTAAGTCATCTTAAACTCAGTATCTGCAGGATTTTTAAACTCAAATGTAAGACTTGAGACATTTTTAAGACCTGCACAAATAAAATATCATATGAGCGCAGTAGGGCAATGACTATTGTAACATATTAAACTGTAACATGACTGTAAAAAGCATGACATACAGGTTTTCACAAAACAAAAAGTTTTATATAAATTTTTAAGTAAATGGACGACTTGTATCAATTATGATATCAATTTAAACAATTATTATTAATCAATTGTTACATTAATTAAATAACAATATAAATATAATTTGTCTTAATTGTTTCGATTTTTATAATGCATTATCTTGTCGGTCCACATGTTCACATTTACAACTCTGCGTGTT